ACTATGTGGTTGTGGCAGATTGGGGGGGAGGGCGGTGCTCCCTGAGCAACAACATACACTAAGGTGGGAGCACATGCACGCATTTCCTTGCACTGGCATCTGAGAGCATTTTCCTTCTGTGTGTAAGTTCTTAATACCATTCTCTAATAAAGGGAATCAGGACTCTTTGAAGAAATGGCTTATACTAGGACTGAGACAGTCAATATATGAGCCAGGATCATCTTGAGTCTTGTATCAGAAAGTAAGGAAGTACCAGGGGAGAAAAAAACCCAAAATATGGAATGATCTCACAGGAAACAGGAGCCAATGAAAGAGTTCTCAATGGCCAAAGCAGGAATGAACAGAGCAACCAAACCTGTGGTGCTGGATTATAACCAAAAGATTAAAGTAACTATCCAGGTGTCCACAATGGTGAAGTTAAATGATGACATAGTTTTTTTATTTTAATGGGATTGAATAGAAAACTCCTATGCAGAAGATTTCTTAATAATCTATGACATCCACCAAGGAGGTGGAGCTAAAGCCCCCTCTCCTGAAGTGTAAGTTCCACATAGTGACCTCCTCCTGTTTAGGTCAGAAGCGAGAAAAGTCCGAGATCCCCCTGCTGGGCATGTATCCAGAGCAACACTCTAATGTGAAGAGATACATGCACTAACTGATTTTTGTTTTTTTACCACAGTGAGCAACATTAAGTTGGGGGGGGGGGATTGTGTTTTCAACAAATGGTGCCAGGCAATTGTCTATCCAGTGAAATTTTTTTCATTTCCAAGAGAAAGGAAATTGGATCCTTGCTTGATACCACATGCAAAATTAACTCAAGTTACATAAAAAGCTTAAACTTAAAGAGTGGTACAGTGACAATCAGCCCTCATCTGCTGATTCCACATTTGCAGAATCAGTCACTTTCAGATAAAAAAATAATAATAATAATTTGAGAACTTTCCATAAAGAAAAACTTGAATTTGTGGCATGCCAGAAACTATTTAAATAACATTATATTTTCTTCACAATTATTTACATATCATTTACATTGTATTATTCATTACAAGTGATCTAGAGATGATTTCAAGTATACAGGAAGATGTACTCAGATTATTTGCAAATAATACACCATTTTATATAATGGATGTGAACACTGACAGATATTTAGTATCCAGAGGGTTTCCTGGAACCAATACCTCACTGATAGGGAGGGAAGCTGTATACACTGTCAAAGAAACAATGGGGATAAGTCATCATGAACTTGGATTTAGCAATTTTTTTAGATCTGATAACAAACACAAGCAAGTTAAGAAAAAATAAATTGCCTTTCCTCAAAATTAAAGACTTTTGTACATCAAAGATTCTCTCCAGAAACTGAAAAGACAGCACACAAAATCGAAGAAAATATTTGCACATTATATATTTGAAAATAATTTTGTCAAGAATATATCAAGAACTTTAACAACTCACAAAAAGACAAAGCAAACCCAATTTTTAACATGGTAAAAGGACTTAAGTAGACCCTTCTCTACATGCAAACTAAAAAAAAAAAATCTACAGTATATTGTATATATGTATTTACATGCAATATACTGTATATGTGCAGTCAAACAGTAATAATTTTACTTAATAAAAATCAAAAAGTAAATAAATGAATAAAATTAAGTATTTTTTAATAGACCCTTCTCCAGAAAAAACAAATAGTCAACAAGCACATGAAAAGATGTTAAAAATCAGTTGTGATGGAAATGTACATGAATACCATAATGCCATGCCTTTTCAAGCAAACTAGAATCGCTACAATCAAAAAAATTAAAAACAACAAATATTGGCCAAAATGTAGAGAAATTGAAACTTTTAAACAATACTTGAAAAATTGGAAAATGGTACAGCCCATGTTTCCAGTTTGTAATTTCCTCAAAAAGATAAGAAATATGGTTCCCTTATGGTTCAACAACTTCACTTCTAGACATAGACCCCAAAACATTAAAAACAGGTGTTCAAACAAAAAAAGTTACACAAATATTCACAGCAGCACTATTCACAATGGCCCAAAAGGTAGAACAATTGAAATGTCCATCAAAGGCTAAACAGATAAACAAATAGGGTATATCCATAAACTGCCATGTTATTCTGCCATATGAAGAAGTAAAATGGTGCAGCCAGGGTGGAGAACCATACAGGAGTTCCTCAAAAACTTACACATGGTGTTGACGTGATCCATCAATTCCACTTCAGGATATATGTTCAAAATATTTGAAAGCGGGAACTGGAATAGAAACGGGTTACACCCATACCCAAGGCAGCACTAATCACAACAGCAAAAGGTGGGAATAACTCACCTCTCCATCAACAGATGAATGGATAAACTAAATGTGGTGTATGCACAATGGGATACTACACAGCCTTAAAAACTAAGGAAATTATGATGCATGCTACAACATGGATAAATGTTGAAGTCACTGTGCTAAGTGAAACAAGCCAGACACAGAATGACAAGTATTACATGAGTCCCCTTATACAAGGCAACCAGAGAAGTCAGATGTGGAGATAGAAAGAGTGTCACTGCCAGGGGCTGAGGGGAGTCAGTGTTCACTGGACACAGGGCTTCACTTGGGGAAAATGAGTAAGTTCTGGAGATGGATGGTGAGGCATCTGTACAACACTGTGAATTTAGTTAATACCATAGAACTGCATAGTTAAATGTTTAAACGGTAAATGTTATGTTCTGTATTTTTAATGGCAATGGAAAATGTGAATGAATCACTAATGACTCAAATTAGATAAAGATTGAAAACATTCTAAGTGAAACATTCTAAGTGAAACACAGAAGATGCCACCCAGATCCTATTCATCTTGTGCGCCTCAAATCCATTAAGACTTTGAAAAAGAGGGAAACTCTCAGTAATAGTTTCAGAAAAAGAAAACTGGCACAGAATGGAAAAGGGATTTCCATAAGTTGTGGCAAAGGGGAAGGCTGAAGTGGGCCTGTGGCTGAGGTTACAAGGTGAACCATACAATCTCTTCACTTGGGGTTTATGTGCTGGGTCCCTGGGGGAGTATCCCAGGGTTAGGTAAGACCCACTGGGGTGTTCCATGTGAGGTGGCAAATGTAAGTACTGCGAAATGCTATTTAAAGTATTTTACATGCAACTTTATAAGAAAACTTTATAAGAAACTTTATGAGAAACTAAATTACTTTTGAAAACAAGTATGTCAACACCACGCCCCAAAAAAAAAAAAAAGACAGAGGAGACATCAGATTTCCTTACAGAGGCAAACACTTAACCAGATCCAGTTCATCCAAAGTGCTGATGCTCATCGCCCTTGCAGGAGTCCACACGTAACTTAGAGGCACTGTGGGAAGATTAAGAGCTGCTGTGTCTTAGGTGCTGTGGGGGACCTGGATGGAGTCCAAACAGGGTGACTTCTGATTTCTAGTTTTTCACATCAAACCATCAAAAAACTCTTAGAACTAATGAATTATTTCAGTAAAGCTACAAGGTACAAAATCAACACACAAAAATCAGTTGTCTTTCTACACATTAATAATGAAACATCAGAGACACTTTTTAAAATCCCACTTACCATTGCACCCAAAAAAATACCTAGCAGTAAACTGAATCAAGGATGTGAAAGACCTGCACACTGAAAATTCTAAGACACTGAGGAAAGAAACTGAACAGACGCAAATAAATGGAAGGATACCCTCTGCTCACGGACAGAACGAATTAATGTTGTTAAAATGTCCATTCTACCCAAAGCAGTGCTCAGACTCAAAGCAAGCCTCGTCAAATCATTATGCCCTCCACCAGAAAACAACAGAACATCGTGAATTGACTACACTTCAATAAAATAAAACAAACTTTAGTGGCATTTTTCACAGAAACAGAACAAACATTCCTAACATTCACGTGGAAACACAAAGGACCCTGAACATCTGAAGAGATTCTACAAAAGGGAAACAGGCTGGAGGCATCTCCCTCCCTGACTTCACACGGCATTACAAAAGCACAGTCACCAAAAAGTTGTGGAACTGGCACAACGACAGGGACAAGGACCAGAGAGAGTCTGCAAACAAACCTACGGGGATGTGGTCAGTTAACTCACAAGAAAGGAGCCAGGAACCTGCACCGGGAAAGGACAGTCCCCTCTATGAAAGGTGCTGGGAAAACTGGGCACCACACACCAAAGGACATGGCACACTGTCTGCACCACACACAGAACCTGACTAAAACCCACAGCTTCCCACATCCAGCCCTTCCTCTCCCAGGGCCTCTGAGGAGGGCTTCCCCTCAGCTGTCAGCCCCTCACGGGAAGCTTCTCCTCACTTCCCCTCACTTTTCCTTCCTCCTCACCTTCCCTTCAGTGCAGCACCTCCTGTTGGGTCCTGAGGAGACTGGGTTCCTATCAGCGTGGACATAATCCCCTGTTGTCCTGAAGCCCTGGCAGGTCCTGAGGAGACGTGGCTCCAGGAAGCTGCGCAGGACGCCATGTCCTTGGGCAGAACGCACGCATGTTCCCGCCGCAGCTGGGGGAGGCAGGCTCTGGGCCCGGCCAGCCAATGGGGAAGCGCGGGCCCAGCTGCCATCACAGCCAGTGGAGGCCCCGCCCCGACAGCGGCTCTGCTCAATCCTTTAAACTGGAAATTCAAACTGAAATAGAGCCAAATGTCCATAACTTCTCCAAATACTTAAGAAACAATCAACTGGAAGCCCTATGGAATGAAGTGAATGGAGACACAAACTTTAAACCTTACACCCTTGTTTACTGAGCTTTCATGGTAACCTGCCATAAATGACTTCCTCCCTCCCCGAGGCCTCGCTTTTGTTTTCAGCTGAAGGTGTATTTAAGATGATGCTTCTGGCCATTTCAGGGAGAGACTCAGTTTTCCTGGGTCTCTCCCCTGTATACAGGAGGTATGCAAGTTATTAAACCTGTTTGTTCTTCTCCCGGTAATCTGTCTTATTAGGGGCTGGGAGGTCTTGTCCCAGAACCTAGAAGGATAGAGGGAAAGCTGGTTTTTCCTCCCCCACACACACAATGGAATTCTTCTCAGCAATAGACATTACACCATCAGCCCAGGGAAAGACACGGGTAAGGCTTACTCGTGATGCAGGAAACCAGATGCGGGGCATGAGGGCCATGTCCCAGGTCTCACTTGAGCCCCTGGGACACGCGCCACCAAGTGTGGGTCCTTGGCTTCACGCAGGAAAGAAT